GTTATCGGGGGGAGGGGAGGGCAGAGACTGGCACCCCCCCGATCCTCTGGGACAGCGGCAGGCGGTATCACATCGGCGCGGGTTGAGGATTCCTCCTCGGATCCGGTTCTGTCATTAGTGGCGTTCGCTCTGTTGGGCCGGCGTTGTGATCTCCGCCTCCTCCGGGTCCGGCATTCCGGGAGGTCGGAGTTCTCCTTCACTCACCCTCTTCTGCTCTCTCCTCAGGTGGACGCGCCTCGCCGCACCGCGCTCTACGACTTCCACCGCCATCATGGCGGCAAGATGGTGGAGTTTGCGGGATGGAGTCTGCCGGTGCAGTACAAGGACAGCCACAGTGCCTCTCACCTCCACACCCGCCAGCACTGCTCCCTCTTCGATGTGTCCCATATGCTGCAGGTGCGCGCCGCCATTCCACGCGTGTACGTGCCGCCATTCCGTGTGCCGCCATTCCGTGTGCCGCCATTCCACGCGTGTGTGCGCGCCGAGTGTGAGGGGTTTCTATTGTTATGGACGGTCTGTCACTGTAGATGAACCTGATGCAGATCTGATGAGGGAGACCCCGAGAGAGAGAGGGATCAGACGTGCTACTGGAGCCTCTGGTCACATGATTCTGTGTGGGGGCGGGGCTTCATGGAGAGGGCGGGGCTGGGACCTATTCACGCCGGAACGATGAATAAACTTCCTTCTTATTTGTTCTATTTCAGACCCGAATCCACGGGAAGGAGCGCGCCCCCTTCATGGAGAGCCTGGTGGTGGGGGACATCTCAGAATTGAAGGAGAACCAGGTGAGGTGCCCCCAATACAACCTTCCTGTCCTCAGGTGACAACACTCACCACCATACTGTATCTATGGAGGAGCAGCGTTGTCACCCACATTGGGGAGGTGTTCTGTAGTCTTGGAAAGTAGGTGGGAACAACGTAACAAGGAAGTTATGAGCGCAGGATCGTGCGTGACGTCACATGGCGCCATGACCACGCCCCCTCCTGGCTGACCAATGTCCTCTCTGCGCAGGGTACGCTGTCCCTCTTCACCAATGAGAGCGGAGGGATCATCGATGACCTGATCGTCAACAACACCTCGGAGGGTCACCTGTACGTGGTGTCCAATGCCGGCTGTGCGGAGAAAGACTCCGCCCACATGAAGGTATTGCCCCTCCCCCTTTATTCCTGACCATCTTTTCGTACAGCGACTGACCCCTCCCCCCCATCTGTCCCCACAGAAGCGTC